TCTTTCAGCCCTGCATCCTGGACCGATGTGTTCAATGCCATGCCCACAATCTGCTTTGGTTTCCAGGTGTGTGAACTTTACTATTCATGTGAAATAGAAATAATTTGTAATGTTATTAATGTCTGTAATGGCACATTTGACTAATCTGATGCATCCTTGTATGAAAGTATTCATAAAAGTAGCATATCTCTCTTAGCCAAGGACATGTCTGAATTCACTACTTTTGAAATCTAGCTAGATCGAACTCGATCATTCTCCTCGTTTTCGTTTTCCCAGTGTCATGTCAGTAGCGTTCCAGTTTTCAACAGCATGAAGAAGCCAGAAATCCGGCCCTGGTGGGCAGTTGTTACAGTCAGCATGATCATCTGCCTCTTTGTGTATACAGGCACAGGTGTGCATATTTTGAATTTGCTGAAATATTCTAATGATAAAGCAGACAGCAGCATTCATGCCAATATGAACTGATTGTGTAATGTTTGGGCTTGTTTTTTCTCCGCAGGTGTCTGTGGCTTCCTGTCATTTGGCTCAAGCGTAAGCCAGGATGTTTTGATGTCATATCCATCTGATGACATTGCGGTGGCCATTGCTCGAGCCTTCATCATCATCTGTGTTGTTACCTCATATCCAATCCTGCACTTCTGTGGAAGGTAACAGGCTTTATGGTCTATAGGTGTGTGTCTATGAAAGACACATTTATTGTCAAATCTAAAGAAAATATGTGTATTTGTTTGTGCTTTAGGGCAGTGCTGGAAGGTTTGTGGTTGCGTTTTAAAGGAGAGGAGGTGGAGACAGATGTGGCCAGGGAACGGAGACGGAGAATACTGCAGACAGTCGTCTGGTTTTGTCTCACATTAATTCTTGCTCTCTTCATTCCTGATATCGGACGAGTGATTTCACTAATTGGTGGTTTGGCTGCATGCTTCATTTTTGTTTTTCCAGGTATTACAGTTAAATTGTTCTTAGACTTTACTTTTTGCTTCTATCACGTCAGTGTTTTTACAAACAGTGACTGCATTTATTCTTCTAATGCTTGTCTATAGGGTTGTGCTTGATTCAGGCAAAGCTTTCAGAGCATGATGTCAGATCAACCAGGTAAACTCATTTATTACTTATTAAAGGGAAAGTTCACCCAAAAATAATCATTAATGAATCACCCTCATGCCATTTTAAACTTATAAGATACATTTGGTCATGTCCAAAATGCAAAGGAAGAAATTGTTAATGAAACTTGAGAGATTTCTGTCTTTAAGATAATTTCACCAAATGATGCTTCAAAAAGTTACTGTAAAAGACATTGTAAAAAAAGGATTTCACTTTAATAAAGCAACTCTTCTGAAGAGACTCCATCTTTTTTAAGATAAACAATTCATTTAGGCTTACAAACATCTACACATATTGAACAACGCATATACATACAGCGCATCAATAATGTTGGTCGAACGATTGACGTTTGAGCTTCTGCTGTATGTGTTTTGATCAATAGTAATAAGTGAACAAAAGCCTAAACGAAATTGGTTTATTATATATAGCAGTCAGACGCCTTGGATTAAACTGCTTGATTCACATGGGTTACATTTACATTTTTACTTTTTGAAGTGTCAGTTTTGGTGGAATGGACTTTCAATGGAGGGACAGCAGTCTCTCAGGTTTCATTAAAAATATCTTCATTTGTGTTTCGAGGATGAAAGAAAGTCTTATGGCTTTGGAATGATGTGAAGGTAAGTAAATGATGACAAAATTGTCATTTTTGGGTGAACTATCTTTATAAACAATATTCAGCAATGCCTAAAGACTTGTGTATTCAAAGATAAAACTGATGACCTATTTATTTCTCTATAGTTGGAAGGGAATGGTGGCCTATGGGGTTGTTATGGTTACGATTGGTGCTTTCATCTTTGGCCAGACGACCACAAATGCCATCTACCAAGATATCATCAGTCAACCCAGCAGCCCATAGACGAGTTGTTGTGACCTCATGAATATTGGGCTGTGAACCAATAGAGACAAATTAAAAACAAGGGAAAAAAGCCTGTCCAAATCACGTCTACCACTGACCTCTATCCAGTCTTCAGGAGACTGTTGCAAATTTCTCATATTGTAAAGTGCAGCAGTCCCACAGAAGTCTGTACCTCTTGATGTAGTGGATCATCCACCTGCATGCAGCATCAAGCTCTCTGCTCTGGTTGTTTGTGAATGGAGGACCCCTGTGCAGGACACTATACTTCACTATTTTCTGAATGGATATGGACATTGTGTTAAATCCTCCAGTGTTAGATCTTCCAAATATAGCCTCTTTCTTTTGAAATGTAATTTAGTTTTTTGTCCATTCTCTTTTTTAATTTTTATATATATTTTTTAAGAAACTGATTTTATGAAGGCCTTCTATGCTTGACATTGCAAATGTGGTCAGTGTTCATAATGTTTACCCTTAGAATCTTAGTGCAAACTTTTTTTCTTGATGACTTGCACTGCTAAACATGTAATTCTACAGTTCCATAAG